CACTTGGGTGAAGCACGACAACTGCATTACAGAGTTGAACAAAACTGCGCCATGGTTTTGGACAAGAACCACCCTCCCAGGTCTCCGCACTATTTATTTGTGGTGAAAGCCAAGTTGAGAAACAGGAACATGAACTGTGAGGCTCAATCGTATTTAGATGTTATGTGAGCATGCAGAAAAATTGCCTTAACAAGCTAACAGAATTTGGGAATTTGGGAGTGATGTGAGTGAATAGTGTCAAAACAAAACAGCCCAGAATCAAAAATAACTCTGACGTGTTACATCTTGATAACACAACGATAGAACTGCCATGAAAAATGATACAGGATTTTTCAATCTCTAAATACAACTAAAGGACAATTTGAATTAGTTCTGTTATCAGACTTAAAGGGACACTTTAAATATTGAATGCCTGAAATCTGACGTCGGTTTTTTCTCCCCTCTCTCTCTGCCAAGTCCATGCAGATGTTAAAACAAAATACCATCAATAAGCCACATTCTATTTTTAAAATAAAACAAACACATCATCCATAACAATGCCAGCATTCCAGTACATACAGTCCACCCTACATTAAAGACCTTTGTACCTCTGTGCAATAGCAGAATGGCGTTATGGGAATGTGGGAATGTGCATACTGTGACAAGAAAACAGATTTACCTTTCAAGCTTCCAAGAAGTTTGTATAAACAGCTGTGAGAATAAAAAAGGATTTTAAAAAAAGCTGGAAAGCACCTTAGAGAATGCATCCTTGTGAGCTTTGCCAATTGTCAGATAGGTTTGGGGAGTTTTTGTTTTGCCATTTTTACAGTTAATATAAGACCATAAGAATGGCCATACTGGGTCAGACCAACAGTCCATCTAGCCCAGTATCCTGTCTTCTGACAAGTGGCCGGTGACAGATGCTTCATAGGAAATGAACAGAACAAGGCACTTACCGAGTGATCCACCCCTGTCATCCACTCCCAGTCAGAGGCTTAGGGCCACCCAGAGCATGGGGTGGCTCTGAAATGGCTAAGCATCTACACAGATGGAAAATGAAATGTAATTGTCATCCACACAACCATCTCTTTCAAAGATAAGGTCAATGTTTTAAAACACGTTTGAGATCCAAAACCGCACGTCAATCTGGACCTAGGTTGCACAGCCAATGACTGCAATTGCACATACAAATTAGGTGTCTGCATGCACAAAGGGGTAGTTCGGTGAATTTGTATTTGCAACTGGCCAGTTTGCACGTACAGCTGTAATTCGGCTTGCAGCTGTACGGTTGCAATTGAATGCATCTGTTGATACGTGCACCTTGGGTTTTCTTCTTTAAAAATTGGGCCCTGAAGGTATGTCTATACTGCAATCAAACACCTGCAGCTGGCCCATGCCAGCTGTCTCGGGCTCACAGGGCTTGGGCTGGGTAACTGTAAAATTGCAATGTAGACTTTCAGGCTCGGGCTGGCCCTCAAGCGCTGGGCCCCCACGACAGGGGAGGGTCCCAGAGCCCAGACTCCAGCCTGAGCCCAAAAGTCTACCCCGCAATTTTGCAGCCCCGTGAGCCCGAGACAGCTGACATGGGCCAGCTGTGGGTATTTCAATGCCATGCAGACCTACTCTCAATGTCTGTCAGTGGTTCTCAACCTGCGGCCCAAGCAGCACACAGCTGCCGCCCATGTGACATCCTCCGGGCCATACAGGTCGTATATATATATTGTGTGGATGCAGCCCACATCACATAGAGAGAGCTGCAAGTGCAGTCCACAATGGTAAATCGGTTGAGAACCACTGGCCTATGTGGTCAGGTAGCCTGTTGTTCTCTTGGTTTCATCAAAGTGCACGTAGAGCGCTTTCCATTGTGGCCCTGCAAACTGGACCTAAATGAGTTACACTGTGGCTGTTCTGATTGACACAAGCTCTCCCATAATGCAGTGGCTTTGTGCAAACAGTGCAAGACCTGGCAATGCCCCTCTGTTACCCAGGCTATCATTAGGACAGCCAGGATGGGATTTTCATAAACCATCAGCATTGGCCTAACTGTTCCAACTGAAACCAACAGGCGTTTTACCATTTACTTCAACAGGACCAACACTGAATGCATTTGAAAATCCAAACTCTCCTGCTTCTGTGTTGCATGACAAAGTGTTCTTTGGGACTTGATTAAAGCACTTCATAATTCTCACTTCTGGAGATGATCCTGCTAGTGTTTAACAGCTACTTTCACTCAGGAAAATATACATGGCTGGATAAGGTCATTCTGATGCGTTCAAATATCATTTAAACACACTGTTGAAAACCTTGTTTCTTGAGTTACTTTATTTTTTGTAAAACCTTATTGAATAGACTTGAACCAAGTCCACTTCAGTTGTTACCTATAATCTTCCGGTTGCATTTAAATCCAAATTCCGATGCAGGGAATATTTAGTAATCCGGAGTGAGAATGGGATTAATATGGGCATCAAATCAGATCAGTACTTTATCTGTCACATGGGCATGTTGCATAACAGCAATTGCAAACTCTAAATGTGATCCACATTTGCATCATGCGTGAGTGCAATACATCTCCTCCACGTATGTATTATTATTAAACACGTTTATTACAGTAGTGTCCAAGGCCCAACCAAGAATGAGGCCCTGTGTACTCTCTACACAAGCACAGAGTAATGGACAGTCTCTTCCCTGATGGGCTTTCAATTAAAATAGACCAGCCAGACAGCAGGTGGGGGGAGGAGCAATAACATATGCAGAATGAGCTAGGTGGTGGAGGAAAATGTCAAGTTAGTTCCATGGTTTTATTTTAAGGTGGGTTTAATTAGGAGCTGATCCGGTGGTCCCTCCTGGCCTTAAACTCCACAAGGAGGGGATCAGCTAAACGGAAAGAAAAGGGAAGAGAGAGGGGACATTGAAGCGAAGGGGGTGAGGGTAGGTCAGGGGAGAAGAGGGTAAGGAGCAGGTGTGGAGTGACATGGAGGTGAAGAGACTGGGAAGGAATGGGGAGGGCTGGAGCAAACAGCCATTCAGCACAGGGCAGAAAAAGTCCAGACAACACTGTAACCAGGCACCACCAGACCAGGAAGCACGTGCCTGGGGCGGCACGTTGTAAGGGGCGGCATTCCAGCCAAGCTTGGGGCGGCACATTCCGGCCGCCCTGCCGTGGGGTTTTTTTTGTTGGTTTGTTTTTGCTTTGGCAGTCCGGCTGCAGGGTGTTTTTGGTTTTTGTTTTGCTTGGGGCAGCAAAAAAGCTAGAGCCGGCCCTGACTGTAACTTCCCTGCCTGTGCAAAGGGCCTTGCTTTGGCTGCTGCTGCTCCGACTGGTTGGAGATACACCCAATGGAATGGTCAGCCCGTAGGAAAACAATACCTACAGTCCATTATTTGTGCAGACGGGCTGATTAATAACACCAGCTATCGTCATGCACAACTTCTCGCCTTTTCATTTTTATGATGCTTCGGACTGGAAACCTTTTGTGAGGCCTTAGGCATCGCCCACTCGTCCTAGCTAACCCCCTCCCCCCAAATTCCAGTAGGCAACATTGAGTTTGGAGCAAGGGTCTGAGCCAGTCCAGAGAGGCCCAGTTAGAAAATAGCTAGCTAGCCAGTTCGTTCGGAGATATAATTCAATTGCACGAGCACTGGAGATGGAATGCTCACCCAGCTGGAGAGACCAGTTCTGACGGTTTCCACCAGACTCCACCCACCGAGGCTCCAGCATGGCATTTCAATTATAAGCATGACATCGCCAGCCCAGACTCTCACTGGATGAGCCAGGGAGCCTGAAAGTGGAACAGTGTCACCTGGAAAAAACAAACAAACAGCGAGACGATTAACGCTTTCATGGGTGTGGGATACACCCCAGGCAACCTGGTGAAATAAGAAATGGCACCGTTCAAGTAATGTTGCCATCCCCCAAGTGATAGCTACATCACCATAGAATCTCAACTAGTATCATTTGAAATCAGTGGAGCGACCCCCCCTTTACACCACCTACGGGTCTGGCCCCAAACATGAAACCCACTGCAGCTTTTCCAGGAAGGACGGCTCTGATTTACTATGTCATCCGCTCATGATTTGATCGTGAGTCTCACACTTTTTGGTATATTTCCTAACGCTCCTCAGCTCCTAAAGCATCTCAGCTGGCATTAAAAATAATACATTTCTAGCCCTCAGGGCTGTGCTGGAAAGCTTGAAAACATGCAGTGAGTGCACTCCACCGGCTAGGAAACTAGAAGACAAATAAAAAGCACAATAGATTGCCTTGCAAATTGTTGTCTATCTCATGATTTTGGGGGGCGTTTCCATGATTTTTGAATGCTGGGCAATAACTGCCCTATACTCAGGGGGAAAGAACTATGGGCCCTCAAAGGAGACATGCCCATCTCCTGTCCAGTCAGTGTTAGACCATGAGATAGTCAGAGGTTCCAACCTGCTGATCTCATGAGAAGTGACGGGAAGTAGGCCAGGCCTCAGCAGACAATCCCTCAGGCCTGGTTGTGAAACATACATGTACAGTACCTCCAATTACAAAGCGTACCAAGGCCCACAGCTGCGGTGGGTATTTTACTAATTATGTCCCTGCCAATGCAAGGAGGCATCTGGCTCCCCCACCCCCACACCATTACTCCTGTCTTGAAAATGATGCATTGGGAATGACATTGCAGCCTAGAGAACGCTGATTAAACAGGTGATATCACAGGGTAGTGCCCCAGAGTGGTCACAGCTACCGTTCAGCTGTCTTTGCAAAATGGGCTACATAATACAACACAGGTTGACAGCAGGCACAGCCACATCATTCAGTGCCGTGGCACCAAGAGCTTGGATGCAGGGCCGGCTCTAGGCACCAGCAAAGCAAGCAGGTGCTTGGGGCGGCAAATTTGCAGGGGCACAAGAATCCAGCCTGGGAGCTGAGAACCAACAGGGGGCCCTGGGAGCTGTAGTTCCTTGGTTAGCTCCCTGCCTATAGAGCCAGCCCTGGAGCAGGGAAAGAACTACATTTCCCAGCATTCCCTTGGCCACTAGCAACAGGAAAGGGAAGGAGTGTGGAACTGAAACCTCATGCTGCAGCTTGCTGTAACTGGTAGGGACAGAGCCAGCTCTAGGTTTTTTACTGCCCCCCACCCAGCCCTGGGCTCCCCCCGCACCCCTGTGTTGCCCCAGCCCTGGACTCTCCCCTGCCC